CTAGATCTATGTATAACATACAATGTCAATCTAATAAATCTTTAATCTTGCTTTTATGATGTTGTTATAAATTATTCAACCACATTAAATCATATACTACCTCCATTACCAGCTTGTCTTTCATAGCATCGTATTGTCCTCAAAGGACAAGGGGAGTAACTCATATGGTAATTTGGGACCAAACGACGACATCTCTATCAGTTTACAGCCCAATCACAATCTTAAAACAATGCGTAAAAATCTCTAAAAAAGTAGGCACCTAAGTATCTTATAACACTGACATTTTGAATTTTATCACCGGCGATATCAATTTCTTTAATTGAACATTTACCAAGTTGGGCTTTACTACCAAACATAATGAATTCTGTCTTAGTGGTGTTCATTTTGAGTTTATTGGCATTCATCCAGTCATTGATGATTACAGCACTGTCTTCACTGTCTTCTAAAAGCATAGATCTAGTAGATTTCTCTATTTTCATAGTTCATGAATCATTTCGATTGATATTTTTACAAAAAAAACCGATAACAAGAATATGGTTGTATAGATAAAATCTACCCTAAGACATATTTATTGATCCATATAATGAAACATCCGATCTAATTAGTAGGACTATCCGATCATAAGATATATCCGAAATATGATTTCTTTCGGCATAAGAAATCTCTGGAAATTTCCATTTCATGCGATGGCAAAATGTAAAATAAATTCTAAGTTTGTTTAGATATATTATGAGCAATCCAGATCTATTGTGCCATGAGTGTGCCCAATCTGAAAAAATGCCTCTAGTCTGTTTCTTATTTACCTTGTCGGGCGCAGACGCCGCCGCCATTTTTGTATTGTGCCTGACCTAATAATCGTAGAATAGTAGGCAGGGAACCAGACTACGTACCAATCTCCTATGCAGTGATCTCCCCTTATCAGTACAGAGATATATTATTATTCTGCCAAGGGAGGTAATCACTGTGAGGAGTTTGACAGCGTACATACGTCATCTAACTCTACTTTTATAGTTTTGACAGTTGTCGTATTTTTTAATAACGTCGGAAATACTTCTCATCTTTTTGCGCTTTTACGGACATAACATATGCGTAGTTCATGTGCTGAACACAGATTAAATATGAGAAAATTCTTACAATTTGTCAGAAAGAACAACGCCCTGTCAATACCGTCAACAGGTGTTAATGAAAAAATTCGTGCTGCACATGTTGAGTTTGCTGCCACTGTCCTGGAATATATAGAGGATGTTTGTTTGTTTGTTTGTTTGTTTTTTAAAGCCCACTCGATGAAATTTTATTTCATCGAGTGGGCTTTAAAAACAGTATTCTCAAGAGTGGCGTAGCCACGGGCGAGAATAGTGTTTTTAAAGTTCACGAGATGAAATAAAACTACATCTTACACAACAAACAAACACATTTTCTTTTTATTTTATGCTAAAAACAAGTTAAAACGAAATTTCCATAATATTAACGTAAATATTAATATTTGTTTTCCCCATTGAGAGCCCCATTTAGTCGGAATTTCTCATTAAAAACAAGAAGTCTTGAGCTGAAAAATAAGTCCGACAATTAACGTTAAATGACGGTGATATTATTTATTTTATTAAAAAATATGAATGATCGCTTGTTTTAATAATAAAAACAAACAATTCTTGTTGGAGAAAAAGTCCAACCATCCATTCATATTTCTGTTACTTACTGCGAATTTATATTAGACCTGGCTTTGTTAAATGTAAGCGGCAGCCATTTTTTAAAAGTTGTGTATTTCACGGGAGGAAAATAATTGTGTTTGATTTAGAGGGATATCATTTGGATTTGTTAGTAATACACCTTTTTAAAAGAAAGAAAACATATTTGAGGATTGTAACAGACAAAAAATAGAGAACTAGAAATTTAGAACTTAGATTTAAGATTTTATGGTGAATTAAATAAATAAATAAAGTGTAACTTACTCTCCTTTTGACGCCAGTGTATATAATTGGGTACTTCCCGGGTCTTTAGTAATAGTTGATTTGTAATTGATATCAGGAATGAACGCTGCAGGTTTTGGCAGGGCATAATACACCTCACCCATCTCCCGACCTTCGATCTAAATATAAATAGTAAACAAACCTAATATCTGAACACTTGGTGAAGCCACCAGTCAAAATTATGACGATCCAGATACTTCCGTCGCCGACAGTCTAGATCTGTTTCTAGATATTATCGGCCTTATACTTTAAGTTCTCTTAAATGAATAATACATAGTTTCAGATTAGATGTAGGGTCATTATTTGTAGCAAGGTGTTCTGTATTCATCGACTGGCTGATCATAAGATTAATATTTTTTAACCAAAGGAACCTTGATCCTGAGATTTATCAAGAACTGTCCGTAGGTAGAACATTTCACTTTTCTCAGTGCTTACAGCAGTATAATGGATGAAAGCATAGTATAAAAAGGTGAGTAATTAGGCAGACATGCTTGGCAGAGTTACCTGCCTTTATTGGAGAGGTCATCAGTCCTCTCCTCAGTGTTCAAACTGATTACTGGCAGCATCCATTTTTGCGTATCTGATTGTAGTGAATGATTCTCATTTAAATCGTAAAACAAGTAAAATGGTTTCCTGCGGTGAACATTCTAATGATATAAAGATATTTCATTTAACTATTTTCAACATTATTTGGGGGTTGGCGGGAGGGATAAATAAACGTTTGTAACAGGAATATAGTTGACAATAATCGAACAATATAGAAGAATTTCGATGGAAACTGCATGTGACCGTTGAAGACCGGAGAAGGTCGAACATAAAACACTTATTTCTTTTTAAGAAAATGATTAAATAGGCCATTTTATGAATAATTCCGAGCAAAATATAAATAAAGTAAACACACAAGTTTACGCAGAAAATATCTCTATTTATTATGGCAGATGCCACTACGAATATTTTAATTTTGTAGATTTTCAGTATAAACAATTTATTGTTTGTAAAATTTGAGATAGATATTAAAGAAACATTGATAATTTTCAAACACATCATTCAAGTTTTTCCACCTTAAACGGTAAAATAATTAATAGAAAATTAGAAATATCACGTAATATAGATTTTTGTTCTCAATTAGGTGTAATTCGGACTAATTCCCTACAGGTAAATCCGTAACGTACCGACAAACGGTATTTAGCTGGGTTTTCGAAAAGGTCAATTAACCAATCATATACAGTTTACAGATCACATGCTCCTCCATGTACCGAAAACAGGTCACGTGCTCCTCCATGCCTCAAAAGTTAAACGCGTACCAATACCCTGCTGTCTTCAGACCGCAGGGAATCATTAGGAGCAGTCTACAAAAATTGTTATGCGCATGCTCCGCTTCAAAGTACGACTTAACTTAAACGAAAAATTACCATCGAAGTGAACAAATCGGTACATGGAAAAATCGGAAAATATATTTTACGTTACTTATCGCTACGTGGATGTTTCATTCCGTTTTAATCTTTAAAATGTATAATTCGATAACCGTATTGTTTTATGAGTAGCGTTTTACCATTTCATGTTCCGATAAATAGTAACAGTGAACATTATAGCTACAATATCACCATGCATTATTATATGACCGGGTGAACAGTGTACCCCTTTAACTTTTGAACCGGTATGACTAAATAATGCAACGGAGATTGTTGGCGCAAATGGCACAAAATTTACTCAAGTTTGATTTTCTTCAAATATTGTGGAGGCATGCAGCTTTATATACTGTTTGTTCCAATCAAATGATATAAACATATTTTATGTAAATCTGGGACTTAAAGGGTATAAATCTATACCTCATGAAATATTTTTTTACAAAAATCAACAGTAAAATTATATCGGTTCCATTATTATATTGCTCAAAATGTTGTAACATAGAATGTCTCTGTTATTTAATACACGTGAATAATGTACGTAAACAGAATAAAATGTATTATTTTGCTATTTTAAGTAGGGTTTCATCCGTTAAGTAATGACTTTGTGCACGCGCCACTCGCTTTAAGGCAAATTATTGCCATTTTTATTTCACACAAACATTTTAGAAGTATCTTTTTTTAAATCCAAACATTAATTTTTGCATTAGATATATTACTGTATTTGTAAAAATTACCTAACATTGAAAATCGTTGCAAAGTGTTCCGATGCGACCAGTGCAGACCAAATCATGGTAAACTTTGGTAAAGAAAACAAACTGTTACTATGGTGCAAAGATTTGGAAAAGAATACCGTCTGATATAAGTTCTTCAAATTCTCTAACATCTTTTAAAACTAATTATTATTATTATTATTATTTATAATTAATTATTATTATTATTATTGTTGTTGTTGTTGTTGTTGTTATTATTCAGTGTATAGTATGAAATTATCAATAAAGAAATTGTTTTGCTCAGATTCAAAGAAATTAAAGCTTTGTAAGAGTTCATGAAGTCTAGTTCACTTTAAATCCAGACATTATGATAAAATCTATCTCATCAATATTGTCTACTTAGATTAATAAAAAGAATAAAATAAAACTAAAGCACATCAGAGGGAGGCAAAATTAACGTATAAAAAATCTCACGAGAATACGTTACAAGGGTTGATAAAAAAAAACACAAATTCTTACGTGGGTGTCGAACTCATCCAAAGACAACAGAGTGTTGATCGCCGGTATTCTAGCAAAGGACACCTCTTTCTGTACACCACATTTCTGACATATCACCGCATGAATACTCACAACAATTATCGCGATTTTAATTAACAGACAAAATCCTTGATCCATTTTTAGTTATATATTTCTAACTATTTTAACTTTAAATTACTCATACGGTATAATATTATAATATTAAATACCTCTTTACAGTGCTTGATTCAAGAAACTGACACGTTTGCTTTATTATAACAACTTATATTAAAATTAACTGCGTAGGCTTCAAATCAGCTGTTGATACAAAAAACGTTAAAGGGAATGTACGACGGCTGTAACAGTTGCAATAATGTACAGTCCTCACTTAATTAAATGACATTGTGAAAAAAAAACAAAAAAAAACCAACAACTGTTTTGCTTTACCGACGTTTTATGCGGACGGATTTACGGACGAACGGACGGACATGCCAACATTTTGGGTTTGTGTGTTTTTTCTTTGATCTTTATAAGGCAATTTTTCTTATAAACCTATAAAATTTACCTCATAAACCATTTCCCCCTTTTTTAACCAAAATTATGGACGGAATGAAGCTCATAGACCATTAGATGGTCGCCTGGAGGGACGAAAAGGCAACGTCATTTCAATATTCCCCTTCCGATTTAATCGGGAAGGGAAGAGAATTTAATAGACAAATGCTTGACTACAAAACATTTATTATTATTAAATTGTTTATTTTGCAAAATGTGATTGGATATAAACTGCAAATATAAATTGTTGATATATATATATATATTTAATAGTATAAAAACTAGCTAAGCATATTCTTGATCATAATACAGTGTTATAACAGTGTGTCATTTTCTCTATACAACACAGCATGGCTAAAGAAAGGGGAAAAAACTAACACAACTTGCTAGACATTTTAACAAGTTTGCCATAATCAATTTAAAATGTATAAGTAGCATATGGCGTTAGTATATAAATAACACGTGGGTTTGTGGGTAACAGTAAAAATATCATCCCGAGGAAAATACTGTTATCCGAGGCGTAGCCGAGGGTAACAGTATTTTTACGAGGGATGATATTTTTACTGTTACTCACAAACCCATGTGTTATTTATTTTATTACCCCGAACAAAATACTGTGATGATCTGAAATTGTCAACTAAATCTAACTGAAACAAAAATGAACCAAGAGTAACAATAACTAAACTACTTACCTTTTAAGTTTTAGTGTACTTTAGGCCTACTTGAGAAGTTTTCTTTTTCTTTTATTCTTTAAGCAAGAGATGATATCTACAAATCATAAACATACAATAAGCTAGGTTTTATTTTAAATACAAAACACTAACCCATTTACACGGTTATGATCTGTGAAATCTGATCCTTCTGCATCCAGAATATTCTTCGCAATGGTTTTTGACAAAGTGCATTTAGAAAATAACGATGATATCCTACAGATGTCTGTCCACCAACTCTATCTGTAACGTTTCACTGGTTAAAATTGTTAAATTATCCTTTGTTACATGCTTTAACTGTCTGCATGTTCCAGTTTGACACAAAATTCTTTACATTACAATTACTTCCGTTGAAAACGGATGTTTCCTGTTGACTATTCAACAAAAAGATATTTTATACGCGAAATGAACTCTAGGGTGCAAAGAACTAAATTTTATGAAAGTAATAGTTACTTCGGTGATGCCCTATCGTCGAAAATAAGAATGAATCGAGAAATAAAGTTTCCTTTTAAAAGGAAAGGCTTGCACAGTTGTGCCTTCATCCCAACCCTTTAAAATTGTGTGTGTTTTGGTCTCAATTTATGATCACATTTTTTTTTTAATTACGGTATTTGTATATCATAAAGGGTTTATTTAGTTGTTTTTTTTTTTTTGGAAAACCGAATAATTTTTGTCAAAACGATTTGAAATCTATTCTCTATTGTATAAAACTAATAAAGAAAATGATCAATCGTAAAAATACTAACGTGATACTGAAGGAAAACAAGTGTGCACATTTCATTTCCCCTTTTTCGCAGCGAAATCATTCCTTTGCTTTATAGACAAGTAAATGCACTAAATACTTCGTTACGTGGTACCAATTAATAAGCATGTATCAACTATGTTACACGATCACAAATAGACGATATCAGCACCAAACTCCTCACAGCTGTTACGTCACGCTTTGCTACTTTAACTGTACAGATCAGGGGAAGTAACCGCTGCGAGGAGTGGGAAGGTTAATGATATGCATGGGCTATTTTTAGATTACCTCACCATTACGGTTTGAACCGATAAATCAAGTAAAAATACAAATCTTATTTATATAAACAAACTGGGATTACCGAAGTAACTAAAATAGCTTAGATTTCCGTAATATTACTTCGTCTGATTCCGCAGTATGACGGAATCGCCCGAATTGTCACGATTGCAATCGGAACTACATCGGCTATTATCATTAATCCGAAGAGTGACGGAAAAGGCCGAAAAGTTGCGATTGGCACGATTGGAGCTGGTTTCCCGTTCAATCATGCACCAACAGATGTAAGCAGGAAACCACCTAACCGGAACAAGTTTTCCATATGAAATGGCTTGCAGCCGTGGCTGCAAGCCAAAAAATGGCGGCCATTTTTGCCGTTAGGATTTTACTGAAAAACAACCTAAAACTCCGAATCCATCCAAAAATTTAATCGAAGCTTGGCTTCCAGCTTTCTACAGAATTTATCTATCAGGGCTAGGATCCAAAACTATTTAGCCAATCAAATTTAATCTTACATAGCGTCAAAAAACCTTCAATTTTCACGCCATTTTTAAAAAGCAGTAAGTAATATTTTGTGCGCAAAGATATAATGATGATTAAAATGTTTGTTTTCATGAATTCTTTTCAAAAAATCATATATACACTGACTTTTGTTTTAGCGATCTCACCTGTTCCTCTGTAGTAAGTTTTCGTTTGGTTAATTAACATTAGTGAACATCTGGTTCTGTGCATTTTTTTATTTTTCCTTTTTTCCGGTCATTTTATCCTTTATCGGTATTTAGTGTATATATTTACTGGCCGGGGTCCGGGAGGCCCGGACTGGCCGGGATCCGGGATCGTATAAGATATAGAGGAAAAACTAATAAACTATATTTGTGTTGATTATTGTCGTAATGAAAGGACATCAAACGTTAAGTTTTTTTATTGTATGTAATGAACGTTAAATTAATCAAACTTAGGATATAAATATATTTAGAGGTATTTATTAACAAACTTAAAATGCGGAAATCCCAATACTTATAATTACAATGTATATGCCTAATTAATTGGAAAAATCACAGACTACATTCTTGAATTGGTCAAATCCCGGGATCCCTTTATGTTTAAATGCGATCCCAGCTTTTCTGAAAACTATATTCTTGAACTGGTCAATTCCCAGTATCCCTATATGTTTTAATAGGATCCCGGCTTATCTGAAAAACATCTTAGACTGGTCAAAATCCAGGATCCCTATATTTTTTTTAATAGGATCCCGGCTTTTCTGACAACTTGTGTTTACTTTAGGACTTGTGTCTGTCACTCATTCCAATACTAAATAACATATTACAACTTAACTTCGTATAAAGAGACATCTTTATGAATTCTACCTATCTAAGATTTTTTTGGTCAAGGTCAACAGGTCATACAGTAATTTATGTGCATAGACATAGGGACTTCATTCTATCTGTTTACATGCATCTTCATATATACTCATATTCCTCTTTGTTAAACTTAGAGAACTGGCTTCCATAACTTTATTTCACTTTTATTTTGATGTTCGCTGAAGTCTCTTCAGCTAACAGAACTATCATTTTTACATTTAAACGCACCCCTGGAAAAAAATTACGAAGCGAGTCGCTACTAGCTTTTTTAAAAGCTAACCTTGTTTCATTTTATTTAGAAAATAGACCACGTGACCAGATTTTAAACTGTTAAAAATACTGTTACCTATGTAACAGTACAAAATTCTTAGTCACGTGGTACACTTGCATTAACAGTAAAAATAACTCCCAGAGGCCTATGGGAAATTAGCATTACGAAAAAAGTGAGGGGTAATAAATTTACTTGCCAGAGCATAATTAGTTTTATGACACTTTACAAAAAAAAAGAAAAGAAAATCAAGTGTTATACATTCATGTATAATGATACAACGTATTGTATTGAATATTTATGATCATGAAAAATGTTTATATGCTTTTATATCTACACATGTTAATCTAATGTTTACCTAACTTGCTGTTCAAATCAGCATCTTTTTACATTTTGAATATGTACCATATAATTTTAGGAAAATACGATCAATTTTAGTTTATCATTTGAACTTCGGAAACTAACTTTGTTGTTAAAATTCTTGGATTCCTTTAATCAAACATTTTGCCACATTTTTACAGCTTTCAAAATTGCATTAATTATCTAGTAGAAACCTTATTCAAAATATAAATTTTAGAAAGTTATAACTAATATTTTATCAGTTTTGTCCAAAATAACGAGAAACGGAAACCTATGTGTATGAAAATACCGAAAGGCATAAAAAACAGAACAAAAAAAACAGAAAATAAAGAAAATTAAGGGATATCGTGCGTTAGTTATAACAATGACAGTTTACAGGCCACTTTTTTCGACAAAAATGGTAAGTGGAAAATTCTCTTTTTGTTAGAGATTTTTTTCTAAATGAAACGGCACGTGGTAGAATCGTGCTGGAGATATGAAAGAAATTCGGCGCAGGAATTTCACATAGAGGTAGATTTCAACTGAGAGCACAAAAGAGAGATTATTCAAAGTTTATTTTATTAATATCTTACATACAATTAATGAATTATATAATAATGAATATAATATACAAAAGTAAATCATAAAACGAACTTCCCTTTAAATTATTTTTTTAATGTTAATACAATTAGGTCTACTTGAAAATATTATAAGCATTGTTCATAATACTAGTATATGTTTATAGGCTCAAATGATACATGACGTCACAAAACTATATGACGTAAAGATATGGCTTATTCAGGAAATATTAAAGATCTAACAAAGATGGTGGTGCATATTTTCAAAAAATCTAATTTAATTGCAATATACGTTTGAGGTAACTTTTAAAGCTGTAAAATTTGATACCAGATTTATAATGTTTGAATGAGATAAAGTATTATAAACATGTAGATCTATATATAATATTATCTAAATACATGTACTGAGATAATATATATAGATCTACATGTTTATAATACTACACGTTTCTAGCGTTCATTTTTATTGGACAGCCGTGTTTTTATATTATTTATATTCATGGCTGCATCAAATTAAACACTTTATATTCACATTTAATAATGCTACACAAAATAGGAATTTTCGGGCATTACAAATTGGGTAAAGGCATCTGAGAGATAATATTTCCGTGCGTAATACTGCACGCTTGTAACGTCGCTTTTCATTGGATAATCGTTACGTTTATATTATTAGTTATAAAGATCGTTGACCTGTTATATGGCCTTAAACGGAGTGCTTGTAAATATAACCCAAGCCGTTAGGACGATTCTAAAGGCCATAACATTTTGTTTCACTGATTTTTGTTTGTTTGCGAAATGTTATTATTTGTTATCAATATATTAATATTTTATTGCAAATATTTGATACATACATACATGTAAAATAACATGAATAATACAGAAATAAATTCACCAGAAATGTCCAAATGGGTCGTGTTACAAGTTATAACAACAGTAGCAACAGCCCAATGTCAAAGTTTTACATCATATTTTATATTCTTGTACATTCTTTAAACAAAAATATCTGAATATAAATTGAGAATAAAAGTAAGGTAAACTATTTGAGAGAAAATAAAGTAATATCATTGGTTGTAACTTTCCAACAGTGCTCTCGGGACTTCGTAGAAATGTTCAGTTTTTCACTTGTCAACAAAGAGCTGAAATTATAAAAAAAAACCCAAAGTAGAACTTTAAAAGATATGATAATATAGATCTCTAAGTGTAGATAACTCATGTACAATGTCAAGCACGGTTAACTAACAATCGTCTCCCCTTTTTATATTTAGTAGAAATATGAAGTTTAAATTTAGCAATGCGGCAAAATTATTGCCTTTTCGCCATTAGCAATATTATATGAAAAATGGCAAATTCAAAATTATACAAATTTGAAATATAATTTTACATGATTTACATGCATATATATACTCGGACATTAAGCTGATTTAGCAAGATTCCAAAAGCATCGCTGTTAAAACGTGTCCTAGACACTTTTTCTCTAATAAAAAGTTAATAACAGATCCCCATTAAGCGATGGACGAATGAAAATTCTTACTATTTTCTCCGAATGAAAAGTACCATTCTAAGCTAGGTGAACCAAACTTTACTCCCGTAGCTCGGCACAGATCTTCTATAATATCGGTGATTGGTGCATCATTCATGTTACCATGTATATAAACACCTGAAATTATTCAATTGTATTATACAAAAGAGAAAGAACATCTAAACACGATACTATCTGATTTGTACGAGGGAGCGTAACATTATATTAAACATTGTACACAGGAAGGTCAAAATAAAATAGAAGCACCTCTAAGATTAGTTGTATCTTATTACCGAAAATGTGTCAAGGTTCCCATAAATGCATGGTGCATAAACTGGAGTGTAGGTATTTATGTTTGTACAATATTACCGTGTTATGTCAAAAACCTAAACTGTTTCATTATGTACATTGTATGCTTATAGAGGCGTGTCAATCACGCTATTTTGACGTTAAAGACCCTGTAACACAGTTTTTTAAAGTTTAAAATCATAAATTTGATGATCAAATAAAGATTTATCAATATTTTAGGTTCAAAAAAGCATTATTTATAAAAATATTACGGAATTCAACATTTCATGTAAATAAAGGGAGGTAATAAAAATTCATTTTGTATAAAGTTTAAGCCAAATTTTGCAATAAGAAATGAATGCATATGATTAATGATAACATATAATATGCAGAAATATTTGCAGTACATATTTTACATATTCTTCGATGTTTGAAAATTATTTTATTTGCATAATTATGTACATTATATATAATTTCACATAGTGTGGTCACAACATACAGGATCTTTAAGGATTTTGTTGGAGGCTAAACTTATACTAGGTATATTATAATAGATATATAATACTAAATATAGTATATTATACATCTATCAAACTAGATATATCACACTAGATATATAATACTAGATATACATGTATCATACAAGATGTATCACACTGAATGTATTATACTTACATTATACATAATAGATTGTATTATATACATGTAGATATTGCTGTACACGATATCTGATACAGCTTTATAACATAAAACATAATAATTTAGACACTGAACAGAAATAGATTTAAACTTATATAACTAGTACATGGCTTGTAAATTAAAGAGTGTTGATATATAAGTGAATATCAACATTTTATTACTTATGGTGGCTGATTTGTGCCGTCATATTTTCGCTCCGCGGCCCGCGAATGCGGGTACACGATAATACGACAAAGTACATGGCGACTGTCGTATTTTCGTGTTCTTTTCGTCTTTTCGCCTGGCGTCCCTGGGAGCGAAGATACGACATGGCAAATATCAGCCAACCTCTGCCAGTCTCGAGCATTGTAGCTATTTTGTTAGAATTGCATCAAATACATATTCAACCAATTTACAATGAACAAATTATATACATAAGAAAATGGGTTGAGCTACCAAATTAGAGGGAGCCCATTTAAGAAAGTTTTGGTTGTAAGGCGACGGCCATGAGTTTGGATCTCCAATATGCGTTTTTTTTTTCTGAATGCAAAGTACACTAGCTGGACAAGCTCAAAAAGCTATTTTTAAGTTAAACAAATATTTGTATAAATTCACATAATTATATAACTCCTAAGCATAAATTTGATTTATTTGATAAATTAGTAGCTCCTATTCTAAATTATGGAAGTGAAGTGTGTGGTTTTGCTAAAAATTTGACAATAGAAAGGGTACATTTACAGTTTTGCAAGAAAGTACTTGGAGTGAAAAAGACCACACAAAATGATTTTATTTACGGTGAACTAGGTAGATTTAGTTTTAAGACAATACACTATTATAACATAATACAATATTGGGTCAAAGTTGTACATACAGAAGAAAATAAATATGTGTCTTTGGTATATAATATGCTCAAAAATGATTTAGAAAATGCACCGAGTAAAGTAAATTGGTGCTCTTTAGTAAAAAACTTATTTTGTACACTTGGATTTTATGATGTATGGTTGCAACAAAATGTTGGTAATAGTAATTTATTTTTGTCATTAGCTAAACAAAGATTACACGACCAGTTCAAGCAGAATTGGCATGATAGATTAGAAAGTTCTAGTAGAGCATTGTTTTATCGAACTATTTCAAATTTTAGATTTCAACCTTACTTAGAACACTTTACAAATAGTAAATTTTGTCAATCTTTTGTTAGATTAAGAGTTTCGTCACATAGACTGCAAATAGAAGCAGGTCGTTGGTCAAGACCGGCGACTATACCAATAAATGAAAGATTATGTAACTTTTGTAACGTCTTAGAAGACGAGTATCATTTTATTATTGAATGCAAGTTGTACGATGAACTTAGACATAAACATATATTATCAAAATATTGGCGACGGCCAAATATGTACAAATTTATAGAATTGATGAATAACGAAAACCAGATGATAGTAAGAATGCTTGGAACTTTCATACATACTGCTTTTAAAAAACGTAACGAAATATTATATGGTAATTGAAATAAGGTATATGTTATACAAATATTTATCTAGATTGTTAATCATGTAAAGTTTTAATTTATCGAATGCATTATCACTTTTTGTGCTGTATTTATATATGGATATTAATGTGTATTGTGTTAAGTTGTCTTTCATATCTAGCACAATACTCTTTTCACACAGAAAAGTACATTGATCATGTAGATTATCTTAGTATTATGTTCACTCCAGTCAGTCACCTTTATGTTTCGTTTCGTTAAAGGGTTGACTTTAAAACTGGAAAGAGGTAACATGAAATTTAGTTCGAAATATGTCACAATTGGTAAGGGTGAATAAGGTTGAAAAAACCTTCTCCAAAGTAAATTATGTTTGCAAGATATATTGTTAAAATGAAATTATTGTTAAATGTATAAACTGTTCGTCATAAAGTTTTGTATATGTATGCCTCATGGGCTTTTAAGCCTAATGGTTTTGATTGAAATAAACTTTGAAACTTTGAAACATTATTATTTTAAAAACTCATACAAGATGTCGGATATGTCAGAATAAAATAAAATATTACCGAAGAATGTGTCTTTTATCAAACATTTCTTCTGACCAACCTTGTAGTTTGTACACCGCATGCTTAATATGTACTTGGTTGGACAACTTGACCACATACCTTGTATCACGGCTGAAAATTAATAAAACTTTAGATTACGATAATAATATCATGTACATTCTTATCCAATTAAAATGCTGTACGTTATTTAAAAAACTATTCCAATAAATCAAAGTATTTCACTTTATACAATTTATGTGGGCTTTTTTTTTTACTAAAAGCTCCGCCTACTAACGCTGACCTCTACCACAGACACGCCTTAAAATCTAAATAAATTGTACATTTGTCAGTTCCAGCACATGCGCTTATCACATTTATCACATACCCGTGCCGATTTTGCGGCTCCGTAAAAATGGTATTGCACGGCCGTGCATATATTTTGACGTGGCACCATTTACATTATACAAAAATAGTGTAAAGACGCGTTAAATGTCAGCGTTACACTATAGGCGCGTGAAAGAAAAAATATTCTTATTTTGGGTACTGTATGTGATAAATAGAATATTCTTTTTGTGTAGTTTCCACACTGAATTTTTTGAACTCTTTAAATTAATTAATATTTTGCTCGCCGGAGGCTCGCATAATATAATTTAATTCAACTTGTAGGCAAGCAAATATTATTTTATTCAGAGAATTCAATAAATTCAGCGTTGAACCTACACCGATTCAATATCCTCTATACGTATAATTTAATATCCTCTATTTATCACATACCCATGCCGATTTTGCGACTCCGTAAATATGGTATTGCACGGCCGTGCATATATTTTGACGTGACGTCATTAGCGTTATACAAACATAGTGTAAAGACGCGCTAAATGTTAGCGTTATACTATAGACGCGTCAATGCAAAATGACTCTTATTTCACTTTAAATGGTCTTTAGTTTGGGTATGTGATAAATAGAATATTAAATTCGTGTAAGTTCATTACTGAATTCATTGCACTCGTTGAATAAAATAATATTATGCTCGCCAGAGGCTCGCATAATATAATTTTATTCAACTCGTGCAATAAATTCAGTATTGAACTTACACTCATTCAATATCCTCTATATACAACGTCATTCGATGTATTGATACTGACGTCATTTGTTGTATTGATTTAACTCGTACAGTGTCCATGACGTTTTCTAAATGACGTCATTTAGAGTTTTGACAGAAGTCGTATTTCTGACACCGAAAATCTCTCTCGTCGAACTGTGCTTTGACGTATATAACTTATGCATAGTTCATTAAGTGGACCAAGATTAAGCAAGAGACACCGCCAGGAGGGGACGTCCACGCTCGACCTTTTCTAACTTCTTTCGTCAAATACATTGCAGAAAGAATTTTGCAGTAAAGAAAACTCCTAGAAAACAAAACTGTTTAAGGAAATTATAATCCAAATAAGCGTTCTTTTTACCGAGTATCAATCAAATTCGTGAATAAATAAAGTTATGACAATCTACAGTAAATTTAATATGTGACCTTGACAGTCAATCATGGTCATATAAATGTCCAGGTCAAATTTGAATTACTTTCCATGTCAGTGTTGTTACAGGTGTTCTATTTCCTAATCATAAATCTAATCCATAAATAAAAAAATTTCATGTATGGCCAAATGTTGGGAAATTCAATAATTTGACTTAAAGTGGTCAAATTAAGGCCAAGTTCAGTTAAATCATCGTTTATGTCATCGTTCAATGGAATGTAGCGCCATGTATGAAGCTAATCCATACATTACTTACAAAGTTATTGTCAATTATAGCAAAAAGACTTTGAAATTGTAATAATTTGACGTTCAAGGTCAAGGTAATTTACGAGTCAAAGTAACAAAAGTCAAGCTTATATCAATAAGAATTCTTACAAAATTCTCGAAAGAACAACGCCCTGTTGATACCGTATACAGGGGTTAAAGAAGCACTTCCCGATGCACATGTTGGGTTTGCTGTCAGTGTCCTGGAATACAAAATGAAAAATATTATTATATGATCTAAATATAGTTGCAATCTCATTGGTCCAAACAGTAGTCAACAGAACTTTTTTATAGAATCATATTCCCTGGGTGAAGTATCATATTCACTAGCTGAGTTGCGTTTTATTCTTTTTGGCATATTTCTGGATTAATATATCATTACTTTACTATTATAGTTAAAGGTTTCACCGCAATGATGATCATAAACTTGAATTACTTTTTGTATGCGCAGCGTTCGTGTAGTTGTTGCACGCCGGACACGTGTGTCTTTTTTCCCGCGCTTCAACGAAACAGGCGAAAGGTGTACATGTATAAGGTTGTACTTTCTGAGACTGTTTTAAATTCTTATAGCCTATTCATATAATAAAACAATTATTGACTAGTGTGCCATCAAATATGATGTGATATTCACTGGCAGAAAGTCATATTCATCTGTCAATAATTGTATAATACGTTGTTATGTCGCGTTAAATCCTAACGTTTTTCTGATCGATTAGGACGTCTGTTGTAAGTTGAGAAAAAGGTTAAACGGATACGTAAATACTGAAAAGTTAATGTTATATTTGATCACAGGTCAAACACATTAAATTGGCCATTATTTCAGTTAAACCTAGTGAATTAAAATCGTTGCCCTAGCGACAGTATTACGAGTTTTAAAGACGCTAAAATTTTGAACGACCAAAAGTTTTTATGTGACAAATTACATAAAGATTATATGCTAGAGATCTTTATGCATTAAACTCGACCTTTCTGTCACGGATAAAAGTTACGATAATCATACGCTCCATATCTACAAGGACAATATAATTTTCCAGCCCGATAATTTCAGTTGTTACATGTACGTATCTGACGAAATCTGGCACATATATGTAAATTTTATTTTTGCTTTCTCCCTTGAAAGAAATTGTATGGCTTATAACAATATCATGACATTGCCACAGGGATTATTTTGACAATTGTCTATATCAATATACATGTATATTTATCTAAATTGTTATCCCTACGTTTGTATACAAGTACGCCTGTAATTTCATAAGTTTATTATTTTCAAATTCCATAAAGCCACATATGGTCAGTGAGAATGTACATTGACATGTCAATACAGTGTGTAAATAAAGATAAAATCGGAATTGAAACATCGAAGAAAGTTTACAATAAACTGCATGTTGAGATAGCTATGTATTAATAATATATATAGCTGTAATGTATATTTAAACTCAATTTCGTCCTCACGAAAACATTTACATAAGCATCGTTCTATTTATTTAAATTTTAAAAAATAACAACAAAACCATAATTCCCCCCCCCCCCCCCCAAAATATGATTGAATCACAAAGCCCCCACAACAAAACCAGGGTATTTGGTGACAATAGTCCTGTGAAAGTCCGAACGAAATCCCTAAGCTGCACTGAATGCGGCTATTTTGCTTCCCAAATAGATTCACGTGGTAAAATGGCGGCCTCAATGTGCCATCTTTGTGACAAAAGTGATAGTGATTCTTTTATACAGTAGAATCAAGAAATAATGTGAAAGTGAATTTAATTCAATTTCCCTTGGCAAAGAACTAACATATCTTTTTGTGGTGGTGGGGAGGGGGTGCTTTTATCATTACGATAGCTTAAGTAGAATTGTAAAAGATTGTTAAACTTATGAAAATAATGTATAAAATATTTTATACATTTACAATTAAACTAAAATATCTCGGATATCTTACATGCATGAGTAAATATAATCTTTCTTTCATAATCAACGTACAGAAGTATAGATGGGCTGGCAATCTGTCACACCACAATACGAAAGAATATTAAATATTTGTGAAACAATGACAATGTTAGGATACTACGTCATCGTGCACCTAGTTGGGCTGTGTTTTTTTTTGTCGACTAGAAGATAAAATATTCTTTTATTCTAAGAATTCTTTAGAATATTATAAAATAATGTAGCGCACCTCAGATTGACTTGAGTATTTGATATGGTTTTTTTTAAAGTTTAAAGTTTTACTGTATGGTTTAAGCCTAAAATTTTTAATTTTGGTTGGGAATAAAAACCCAAAGACGAAAAAAGAAAAACTACAAACAAAGAAACAAGCAAACAGACAACAATATTTATTGAGTCTTAGTGAAATATGATCGGATCGTTCCTTGTACGAATTAAACCCGATTTTACCCCACAAGAAAAACTGGATATAATGTAGCTTATATAATGCCTCAACTTAAACCTTATGCTGTTATATATTCGTGTGCAGCAAGTATCGATTACATATGACAAAACAAAAAATCCTTGTATATGTAAAGCCAAAGGTAAGCCTCAGTCTCACTAAGAGCAGAGCCAATGACCATCCCGGTAAGTTACCGGGATGATCCGGGACGATCCGGGATGAAATTATTGTTGCGGTCACACTTACCCCGGCAGCACTACGGTAGTTTCCTACTAACCACCCAGGATGCGCTTCGGATCATCCAGGCAGAGCCCAGGTGAAGCTACGGATCATGCCGGTGCTTCCCCGGTCGTTCCCGGATGACGCCGGAAGAGCCCCGGTTGACCCAGGCAGAGCCCCGGTCGATCCAGGCAGAGCCCCGGCAGAGCCCAGGACGATCCAGGCAGAGCCCCGGTAGAACCCCGGTGGATTGAAATCGCCCGAAAATGATAACATTGATACATATTTTTTATTTAATATAATATCTATTGTTCCAGAATAGTAATTCATGATGATTTTCTGAAAAATCCTTATGCCATACTGGATAGAGAGGAAATGGGAAGGCTTTTATTACAAACAAGTGCAATCATCGCAAAGTCTCGTTTTTCTTTTGAAATGATCCGGGCTTTGCCGGGGCTCTACCGGGATCAACCGTAGCTCTACCTTTATCCTCCGGGGCTCTGCCTACAGTTACCGGGGCTCTGCCGGCATATACCGGGGCTCTACCGTAGCTCTACCGTAGCTGTACCGGCTATATCATAACCCGGATCATCCCCGGTTTGTGCCGGCAGAGCTACGGTGCTTTCCCGGTATAACCCCGGTCGTTCCCGGCAGAGCTAAGGATGAAGCCGGCAATGCTATACCTTCCCGGATCATCCCGGACCACCCCGGTGATATTAAATATTTTATTCCATCCGGGGTCGAATGCCGGATGTTCCCGGATCATCCCGGACCATCCAGGACTTTGCCGGCAGAGTTACGGATGTACCCCGGTTGTTCCTGGTCGTACCCCGATCGTTCCCGGATCACCCCGGACGTCTACCGGGGCTCTGCCGGGATGTAAGTGAGACTGTAGCTTAAACGAAACTAGGTAAAACAAATACCTACATTTAATTGAAGAAAATGATTTGAACAACTTGTCATTTTGTTAAATGTTTTGGTAATTTTGAACTTACATAGCATTCAATATTAATTCTTAAATGGTTATTCAATATTTTGAAATAACATTGCTGAATTTTAGTAATGCATTATTTTGTTGTCTTTGTAGTTACTACAAATTAAATTATATTGTATCGCCAGCCGACATGTAGGTACAAATGTATGACTTTACATTACTAAAATAATACTGACCTCATCATAAAGTTACACAGCCGGTTGTTGTTAGAAATTCAACAGAACTAAAATTTAAGCCTTGATAGTGAATTAAATAAATAAATAAATAAAGTGTAACTTACTCTCCTTTTGTCGCCTGTGTGTACTGGGAACTTCCCGGGTCTTTAGTTATAGTAGATTTGTAATTGATATCTGGTACAAACGCTGCAGGTCTTGGCAGGGCAAAATAAACTTCACCCATCTCTCGACCTGCGATCTAAATATAAATAAGTCGGGTATAACATTAAAAAATATTAATCTCTGAACACTTGGTGATGCCACTAGATCTGGGGCTTTCTGATAGTCTAGATTTTATTTGTGTTATATTTTGAAGTCCCTTAAATAAATAATGGATATTTGGCTTTTAGGTAGGACAGTTACAATTTCTGTCATTAAATGCGTTTTATATTAATTTTGACCTTCTGACCGGCTGATCATGAATTAAATATTTCATGAATCAAACCAAAAAAATAAATGAATAATAAATAATTGAATGTACGCGTGTGGTTGGTCTTATTGGAATCATATGAATCAAACCGAAGAACTTTGATCTTGATATTTGTAAATATGTTATACTCTCCAATTGTGTAGATATTAATAAAATATAATAAAACAGGCACATCTTTCATAATCTTTTGATTATTTTAACTTATCATAAAGTTTTGTATATCATCACATTATGATAATGAACGAGTATATACCACGAGTATTAAGAAAACTCCACTGAGGTCCAAAAGTCTAAATGCACAAAAATTGAAATTCTTTCATAGATCAGCTATGATATTTATAGAAAGATATGCAAAAAATAACATATATGATAAATACAATTTCGCACGCAAGTTATTAGTCTGGAAGGCCAACGCCCACTAGATGGTCATAACAATAGCTTCGCTTGGTTTTCTTCTTCTATATTTATATGATAATACCGTTTCCTTTCTCATTATTATCATTGTTATTCTTTTGCACTTTTACAAGCATTTGATAATTTATTTACATTTAGTTTTCACTTGTCTACTGTATCATACATGGCTCTCCGAGCCTTCCATTTTAGCAGATACTAGTGACTGTATCATGTTACAAAAGGTAATACATGTACTCATAATTTTAATTAGTCATAATTTTAATTAGAGCCTTAAAGTCATGTTTTAAGTCGTCAAAATTTGCCTTGTTACATAATCACACGACTTTTGTGACCCATATAAGCTTCCGTACTTTTATTATATATACATACCATCATTCCTAAAATAAAGTGTCAACGAAGTGGACAATATTTACGGTACATTTGAGATTTTTAAATACCTGTTCGAATAGAATAACTTTTATATTTCTTAAGATAGGGTAAAATATATGACAGACACATATTAATAATGGTCAAATAAAGAAAAATAAAAGAAAAAAAAAACACTTTTGACTCGTAAAAGTAATAAAAATAAACTGGTAGACTAAGTAATGAACAAGAGTAAGAGCGCGTGATGTCGGCGTCAACCAGGTCGGCAGAAAAGACTCTAAATATGATATTTACCCCGAGCTTCCGTTGCGACCGGTGCAGACCAAAATCATGGTAAGTCTGGTTCCCAGCCTACATTTACTACGGAGTATAAGGTGAAGGAACTCCAGACTAATTCATGGTTTGCACTTTTCGCTATTCGGTCAGTGTATATTTTCAAAATGTTGCTAAAAAGGGTTAATAGTTTTGTCCAGATTTATATATACATGTATTTATTTCGCATGGTAAGTCTTAATTAAGACTAAACGACTTTAAATATAAAAATAATGATGTAATATTCATGACAAATATCATCACTACAGTCTATAGTTAACTTTATGAACGAAGAAATTATCAATGCACAACGAGGATGTGGCATAATTGAAATGTAAAAATGTATTTTTTTTCTTTCATAACAAAAAAAATAAATATTTTGCACTGATGAAAACATCTCGCCAAAACGTCTGCAATAAATAATTACGAAATGTTCGTGTTTGTGTTGCTTATTTTGCTTATTTGTTAATTCTTTATAGATGGTAATAATAAAGAAACCTCAACATTTTATAACAAATTGTCAAAGTGCATATCAAACAACTTTATCATAAAACTTACATTAAAATATTTTTTATCACACATAAAACTTTAATGTAAATGGAAAAGTGATATGTACCGAACACTTATGTAGACGGTTTATTTTAAAACCTTGAAATTTTATATGTTAAGTTTTACATAACAAACATACAAGAATAAATAAAGAAAATGAAAGTTATTGACATTTCAAGTTATTTTAATGGTTTTTCATGTTTTTTATGATTATGTAAACACTTCACCGTTGTGGGTTCGAGTCCCGTCAAGAAATTTGGAATTATTTCATTTGAGGAAGTTATTCAACAAGCTTACGGAAATTTAACAATGAGAAAAAACTTTAAAAAAATAATACTAGAAATTGCAAAATGCATTCGAATATTTGGCAAAGATATGTTATTTTTTTACATCAAGTTAAAATAAACAAAAATACTTACATGGGTGTCAAACTCTTCCAAAGACAAGAGAGTGTTGAGTTCCGGTATTCTAGCATACGCCACCTCTTTCTTTGAACCACATTGTTGACCTATGACCCCTTGAATAATGACACAAATTAATACACTTTTAATTAAATGACGAAATCCTGAAACCATTTTTTTTATATTTTAAAGTAATCCAGCTCCCTTTTACTATATGCTCTGTCTAATACTATAATTAATATCACTATCTCGATTATAGTTCAACAGACAGTAACACGCTTACTCTATCAAATCTGCACATGTAGCGTGAAAATTTTAGAAAATAAAACCGTGAACCGTTAAATTTTAAAACCGTACACTTTTTTTTCTACTTGATCTGATCTTGCAAAAATACTTAAGGCGTTTGTTACGTATTATAAAAATCGGAAAGATCAATATTGTCGAACAATTTCACAGAAGTTGAATACACATTATTAGATGTCTGCAGATGTATTAGAAGTAAGTATAATCTTTAAAAATCGTAAATCAACATTTACACACCACCGTAGGTTCGAAACCCACCAGTGACTTCTGGTGTCTATCTGCTGAGAAAGCTTAGTTTGGTGGTTTTACTTAGGTGCGACTTGAACTTGAAATGGCACCTGAGGTCTTCCTCCACCTATTTAGCTTAAAACTGATCATACGAATTTCATTATGTCAGTTTGACTGAACTCCGTCATTTTCACAGGAGGGCTTTTGTCCGTTTTGTCATTTTTTGGACGGTAAGGCTTTTGTCCGGGAAGTCTTTTGTCCGTTTCCCCTTTCCCCTCCCTTTCCCCTCCTAAAAAATGATGTACATGTACCTCGAAACTGGCCTGCCACTGAAGTAAATGACAGGGAACATTACCGCTAAATTTGACAGTTGTCCACTACAGAAATCAAATTAACAGTGCCACTGAATTTAAAAATGGCAATGCACTGGAGTTCTTTTAATTACAAAAGAGCAAATATTCTTCTCTGAAACAAACTTAAAGGTTTTTTATGCATTAAATAATTGAAAGCTCTCTATATTTCATTTATAAACCCTTGTTAATATGCCTTGATACATGATATATTTTGCTAGTTATTGTTCCGTGCTCAATTTAATACGATGAATAGAACATTTTTTAATCTGGATAAATATTTAAATAATAGAAGATTTCAAATATTTAACGAAAGGTTATGCAGTATGAATAGGCAAAACATAACTGCGGTACTGTCTAATAAACACGCGCGATACTCGAATACCAATTCGTATCTGCGTAAAGCTAAAATACGACAAAGTGGCACTAAAATACGACAAAGTTACCTCGCGGAGCGGAAGAACGACATGGCATAAATTAGCTATTAAACTATATCATGCAAAACTGCATCTAACATTCGCTACAAATGAATTAGAAATCACTTGACAGCAATGATTGATAGATATCTTTATTCACTCAAGCACATTTGTAAAATATGAGAATTTTCTAATATAACTTTAAGCAATATCTTTTTTATGTAAACAACATGATTATAACAGTTCGTTTTCTTTAATGTAAATAAACTCGATATGATAATTATAAACATGTATTAATTTAGCGGCCTAGTGGCCCAGCGGCGTGAAGTTGGCGGCCCAGCGGCATGAAGGTGGTGGCGTAGCGGTATGAAGGTGGTGACGTAGAGGTCCAGCGATCTAGCGACGTAAAGTTGGCGGCCAAGCGATATGAAGTTGAGGGCGTAGCGGCATAAAGGTGGTGGCATAGCGGCCCAGCGACCTAGCGACGTGAACTTGGCGCCCAGTGGCCCAGCGGCATGAAGTTGGCGACCTAACGACCTATCGTGAAGTATGCGGCCTAATGGTACAGCAGACGGGCGGCGTTAGGTGGATGGCCTAGCAGTCTGACGACCTAAACATTTAATGTTGTACTAGTTTGTCAAAGTAATTAAAACGACTCTTAATAAAGATTTTAAGAACATGATATTGTCTTTCAAAAGATATATAAGAACTAAAAAATCACATCAAAAATACTTTATTTTTATCATTATTTGTGAAGTTGACAGCATAATAGCCCAGCGGCATGGCGGCCTAAAATTTTACAGTTGTGGAAATGTTATTAAAACATAACAAACGGCACATAATAAAGTTCTTAATACAATACATACAATACAGTGTACTTGATACTTTAAAGATATATAAACAAAAATCACTTTATAATGTTTATTGTACATCAGTGGGTTTATTTAAATTAATAATGGTCGTCAGACATATGTACAATCATAATTGTATCGAAACAGAATTTTTTTCCTTCGGATGTTAAAAATGTACATTTTACATAATTTCTGTTTCTGATCACGTGGTACAACTACTAGATGGGGACGTTCATATTGTTGTGTAGCTCTATATTCCGAATGGTATTCACATTTTACATGTTGGATTGAACAAGTCTTTTGATATTAATATAATGTATAAACACGTTTTATTATTACATTTTAACAAACATAATTCTTCATGTAACATTTTTCTTTCTTTGAAAGGTAAAATAAAGGGTAAGGTTACAGTGACGAGCCGAAATCCTGTTTTCAAATAGTAAAAAGTTAAACTGCCCTCACACATACCTCGCGACCTTACTGCGTCCTTACTGCGACCTTGCTACGACCTTGCTACGACCCAGGACGCAGCACAGACGCCATGGACGCAGCAGGGACGCAGCGAGGTCGTAGCGAGAAACCCAAGGTCGCAGACCGTCGGCGACTATTTTGAACATGCACAAAACAGTCGCAGAAACTCTGCCGTTCTTGCTGAGTCCTGGTTAGGTCGCCGTGGGATCGCAGTGGAGTCGCCATAGTCGCAGCAGCATCGTAGTAAGGACGCAATAAGAACGCAATAGACGTAGTACACTCGTACTAAGGACGCCCGTAAAGTCCCAGACTCAGAATGAAATTTACTGGTAAAAAGTATTGTTTTTATAGACGTAGCAAGAACGTAGTAGGGTCGTCGTACAGTCGCAGGACAGTCGCCGGACAAACCCAATAGTCGTGCGTAGAGTCGCCGTAAGGACGCAGAGAACATAGCACAGTCGCAGCTGGGTCGCCGATGATCGCCGTGGGGTCGCCTTGGGGACGCAATACAGTCGCAGTGGAAACGCCATGGACGTAGAAGGGTCGTATTGAGACATAGAGAAAACGTACTGAACACAAGACTGCAGAGCCCCGGACCGTCTGCGAGAGAAATTTGAAAGAAAACCAACGATTTTCGAAAGAAAAAATGCTATTTTACTAGTTTTCAGGTCGCAGTAAGGTCGTGGTTTATGTGTGAGGGCACCTTATATATTATAAAATATTTCTTTTTTTTTATAAAATTTATAAACAGTAAAATACTGGTTTCATAATAATCATATAATTGATTCTGAATGACACACATGAATATTGTAACATAAACAGAATTAAATGTTCTGGAACAAAATATTCAGTTTTTTAGTAAAGGTTCGTCCGTTTAGCAATGATTTCTTGTACGCGTCATTCATTTTTAAGGAAATTTACTATCATACCAGTATTTTGCAGTTTCTTTTCTTTTCTTTTTTACATTATTTTTTGCAGCAGATATATAGCTAAATACATTTTGATTCAATTTCGAAAACAAATACTAGTAGAAAGTGAACAAGTCTCGTATATTTAAGATAGAGGGATTCTTTCATCAAGATGAAATATTGCGCCAGAGAGCACGTGCATGTCGTCTGCTAGTAAAGGCAGCCAAAGCCAATATATTTATCAGCACGGTGTGACCTTAAACTGAAAGAAAAGGTGAGAAATTCTGTTTCAGGAATTTCAAATAATTCTTTAAAACTAATATAATATACATAGGAAATCGGGACTTCCAGTAAAGGAATATCACGAGAAAACATGACTTGAAAAGTGGTAAACACAAACGAGAGTTCATTTAAAAGTTATTAACATTAATATGTTAGACATAATTATATATTATATATAATAAAATGTTATATACAACAGTAGATGATAAAATAATCAAATTTTTCTTTTCTAAACATATTTTCGAAGATTTTTAAAAAATACTTACGGCATTCTGGAACATGTAAATAATTTTTGGCATTAAATAAAGCTTAGTTGTATATCAATGTGGATAAATGACGTCACGAATGATTAACAAAAACTAACATGTATATGACTTTCAGAAATGGCTGAGTCAGCAGAAATAATGTGATGGTATTCTACTAAATGTTTAAAGATTAAGAGCAAAATACATTTAAGGGTCAGTTTGAAACAGTAAAAACTTAATACTTAGATTTATAATGCGTTTAATGAGTAATATTTACATGTTGTTAAGATGTAGAATATACTGGTTACTGATATAAGTAATGCTGAAAATTTTTCTTTGGACAACTGTCATCAAATAGACTTTGCTACAGCAAATTTGTGATTTATTTTAAATATCAACAATGATGACAAAAAAGGGAAATTACTGATTGATTCCAACACTTGATAGATAACATTGCCATGTATAAACTGTTGTTTGACATATATAACTCGAATGAACTGTAAACATGTTTATATCTAATAAAGTATGTTCACATATGATAAAAAATAACTACAAAGAAAAACTCATGAAAATTGACGATGATTGGCGTCAATTTCCAAAGATATCAAACGATTTTGAAAAACAGAATGTTTTTGTTTTTTTAAATAATTGGCCAGGTTACAAGTTATAACAACCTTCACAGACACTGGGGTTGTAGATCCCCAAACGCCTTAATCCACTTAATCCAAATAAATGGTATATTTGTCAATCCCAGCACATATACTTAATTGAGCGAAAATAAAGTAATTTCATTGATTATAAATTTTCCTCCGGTAGTCTCAGGAGTTTGAAGAAATGTTAAGTCTTTCACGTGTCAGCACAGAGCTGAAATGCAAAGATATAAACATATAGCTTTAAGTGCAGATAACTCATGAACAATATCATGGACTGTTATTCAAGAGTCGTCTCCCTTTTCAACAAAAATATACAATTTATTTAAACTAATATTGCCCCGGGATGTTAAAGAACGTAAAATGTTGAAAATAACTTAAAGCCCTAATAACATTATTTATCAAGTCACGTGATAATACAACCTGACATATATTGTCATTTAATACACAAAAATCAATAAAAAATTATTATTTAGTTCACACAACATTCCTTCAATACCTTTTCTCAAATGTGAAGTTTATAACATGTCCTAAAAACCAAAAGACTTTAAAAATCTTACTATTTTCTCCGAATGAAAAGTACCATTCTAAGGTAGGCGAACCAAACTTTACTCCTGTAGCTCGGCACAGATCTTCTATAATCTCGGTGATTGGTGCATCATTCATATTACCATGTATATAAACACCTGAAATTATCGTGCTCTTTAAAAAATGATAAAATCTGAACAATTTAACATGAAATAAATGACTTTAAACAGGATAGAAATGTATATTAATTCATGTCAATATTAAATACTTGCATACCACGCAAAGAATTTTTTTTATTTACAGAACAAACTTAAATACCCTCTATATATTACTAGACCATTGCTGGTTAAATATCCTTTATTTCAGATATTAAAAAGTGTTAATATGTTACAGTGTACATTACCGTCCATAACTATAAATACGACCCCTGACAAAACTCCAGTGATTATGTTCTTTTGATTGATTTCAGAGGTTAAAAATTAGAGCTTGTAAATGTTTTGGTTACAATTGCATGAAATACATGTTCAATCAATTTACAATTTACAAACTATACAACATAAGCAAATTGGTTGGGCTACCAAATAAGACTGAGTCCATTTTGGTTGTAAGTCGGCGGCCATGAGTCCGAACTAATTGATGCGGGATTTTACATTATTAATTTATTATTTAATAATAATAAGATGTGGATATGATAGTATAAAAATATATTACTGAATACTGTGTCTTTAATCAAACATTTCTTCTGACCCATCTTATAGTTTGCACATCGCATGTTCAGTGTGTACTTTGTAGGACAACTTGACCACGTGACTTGTATAGCGGCTGAAATTTAATGGGATAATGTTACCCACTATATATATATTTTACTTTACTTTACAAACCACTTGCCCCTCACCGCTGTGGGTTCGAATCCCGGCAAAGACTTTGGATTCTTTTATGTGAGGAAGCTATCCAGCTAGATACGGAACGTCGGTGGTTCTACTCAGGTACCCGTTCGAGCCTGAAATAATGCACGGAAGGGCACCTGAGGTCTTTCTCCACATCTAAAGCTGGAATGTCGCGATATGACCTATACTGTGTCGATGTGACATAAAACCCAAAACAAACAAACAAAATATATATTTTGGTCCACAGTTTGCTTTCAATATTTCACGAGCGCATAATATAATTTCATTCAACTCGTTCAATAAAATTTTAATGCAGAATTGATCGCACACTTATTCATTATTCTCTATTCATATCATATTCGTGCCGCTTTTACAATTCCGTACATATGATTTTGCACGGATGTGCATATTTTTTTTAAGTAATCTCATTTGCGTTTAAAGACCCGCTAAATGTAAGCGTTACATTACATGCGCGTCTATGAAATTTTCTTTTGCACTTTAAACGCATCTTTATTTTGGGTATATGATAAATAAAATGTTATATTCGTGTACATTCATAAGTATTCATGTATTGATACTGACGTCATTTGGTGTATAGATTTTACAGTGTCCATGGGGTTATCTAATTGACGTCATTTACAGTATTGATAAAACATCTTTTTTGACGTCCCTATCATCGGACTTTGCTTTGACGTCTATAACTTTTGCTTGGTTCATTTAGTAAACAAGATTAAATAAAATAATCATTATTGAGAAAAACCTTACTATTTGTCAGAAAGAACAACGCCCTGTTTATACCGTATACAGGAGTTAAAGAAACACTTCCAGATGCACATGTTGGATTTGCCGTCGGTGTCCTGCAATATAAAATAAAGAACAATAATAATTAATTATTTTATATGATCAACAAAAACATTACGTTGTTATGATAGGGTTAAATCCTAACGTTATATCCATCGATAAGAAAGTCTTCAGCAAGCTGAGAAAGTTAAGCGGTTACATAAATACTTCAAGTTAAGAACATATTTGATCAAAACTAATTATGGGCAATTAATTCTAAATTGATTTTAAATTATTGCCATATACACAGTATAAAGAGCACAGACTTAAAACCCGGGCAATTGTGCCTTGGTGTATTCGTGTTCTATGTGCACAGCCTCTAATCCGAAGTATACGGAAGTATACGGCCGGTATTGGGGCGCGTTGTTTACCCGGAGAAAGGCGTTTGTCCGTGCTTACACGCGGCCCGGTCACACAGCCCTCCACGGGCGTATCGCGGCCGAATAACGGCCGTGAAGCAGACGCTGTTGGATGCTTTGAAGTCGCGATAAAGACGCGATACAGCCGTACTTTACCCGTCGTTACTCGCGGTTAGAAATTCACACGCGGTTGACCACGCGAAAAAAGTTTTGGGCTGCCCAAAAATTTAGACCGCGGGTAAACGCGGGCGGTACACGTGGTAAACACGCGGTACAGACGCGGTACAGACGCGGAACGAACGTGCTACGGCCGCGGTTTAGACGTGGTTTCACGTTGTAGGACGCGCAACTTTAGCGGGTAATCGCGGGTGGAGCACGGTCATAGCACGTTTGTTCCGCGTCTGTACCGCGTTGTTATCACGTGCATTAGCGTGTGTACCGCGTGTAAGCACGGACAAACGCCTTTCCACGGGAAAACAACGCGCCCCAATACCGGCCTTATTACGTTCAATTGCGTCTCGTACACGTCCCAAATACGATTGTCCACGGCCTTATCGCGTCCGTACAACGTCTGATTTTAGGTATATAAAAAGCACGATTTGCCGAGCATTCGTCAGTTGTGCTCAAGACGTCAAGGGGTGAACATGGATCCCCGTCAGCCTAATGACCTCGTCTTGCTGCTCCAGCTTGAGCGGTTATTATTTCAACAGCCCGGTTCGGCTGCTTTATTATACCCGTGGTAGGCCGCGGTACCACCGCGCTTCCCCCGCGATAAGGACGCGGAACAGTCGCCGGCGTCTGTTCCGCGGGCATATCACGTGTAAACGCATTTCTGAGGCATTATAAACCTTTAAATAAGTAAGAAGGCATTGGTATATTTTATGACCACACATTACCAATTAAGTCAAATAAAAAAAAATATGTCAAAAACAAAGGATTTGTTTAGGGACAGTACAAATAATGACACTCGATTGTTTGAGCGCTGCGGAAGTATGTTTATCAAATGTACATAACGCTTTTCTGCTTGGCTCTAAACACATGGTGATGGATACATATGAACAGGGCAACATATATGATAAGTAATTATATAAAAGTAGGGCCTATTGGAACTATTTGCAAAAGTGTATACCAATTTGGATTATGTTATGTTTCCCGTCGGAATAACATATACAACGACATGATTTCAATACGGGTCGACAGTATAGCCAGTCCAAAACAAGTATACTAGTAACCGGTAAAATATATATTATGGCTAAGTGAAATACGATCCTTTCTTTCACGACTTATACCCGATTTTTCAAATAAAAACCTTGGGTATTATATAACTTATATCTTGTTTAAACTAAAGCCTTGTGCTATTGTATGTGTCGATTACAGACGGATATACTAAATAGACACTTGACACAACAAAAATATCTTTTATTTTATTTTAAAGGAAGGTAAGGTTATTGAAACTAGGCAAATAAGTTTATATACCTACTAAATAAATGAAACGACTTTGCACGTTTTGTAAATCAATATTAAATTACGTGGTTATTTTAATCTTACATTCTTTGCTAAAATTCATGTATTTTAGTAATGCATTACTTTTTCTTTGTACTGGAAAGTTTTTTTTGGAACTCGTTATTGCTTCAACATAAAAATTATGTTGATTAAATTACATGTATATTATATATGTACTGTAGGCAACATATATAGATACTAGTTTGCCAAGTTATTTTCTGCTGACATCGTTAAGTTACTCAGCACCGCCACATTACGGTCAATGCTTGAAATTTAATAAAACCTTAATTTAAGATTTGATAGTAAATTCAATAATTTAATAAATAAATAATGAAACAATGAAATAATATTCAAGAATGAATGAATGAATGAATGAATGAACAAAATAATTAAATAGATGAATGAATAAATAAATGAATAAATAAATAAATAGATGAATATAAATAACAAATAAATAAAGAAAAATAAATAAATGAATAGATAAAAATCAATAAATAAATATGAATGAATGAAATGAATGAAATGATTGAAATGAATGAATAAATGAATGACTGAATGAAAAAGTGAAAAAAAGAGTAAAAAATTGAATATGAATGAATGAATAAATAAATAAATAAATAAATAAATAAATAAATAAATAAATAAATAAATAAATAAATAAATAAATAAATAAATAAATAAATAAATAAATAACTTACTCTCCTTTTGACGCCAGTGTATATTGGGAACTGCCCGGGTCTTTAGTTATAGTTGTTTTGTAATTAATATCCGGAATATACGGTGCTGGTCTTGGCAGGGCGTAATACACCTCACTCATCTCCCGACCTACGATCTAAAAATAAATACAATGGGTATAACATAAACAAATTCAAATGATACATTTCTGTAGTTTTTATCATTATTTAAAAAACATATTTGTCGACCAATCTCCTGCGTTTTCGGTCATTGTATATTTTTAAAATAAATGTGCTAAAAATGATGAATGGTACTGCCAAGGTGTAGATATACATTTATTTAGCATGTTTAGTGTTTATGAAGTCAAAAATAACATAAAATCCAGAAATAATGAAAATATATCAACATGATTAAGAAATGATTTTATAAGGACAATAGCATTAAAGCACAAGGAAGATGTGGCAGAATTGAAATGTTTTGTATTTTTCTGTATATAAATGATAATAAAAAAGAAACATCAACATTTTATTACAAATTGTTCCAGTGCATAATTATCATAAAATTTACATTTAAATATTTTTAACAGTGGAAGTTAAATATGAATTTTTGATAAAAGTAAATGAAATGTAAACAAAGTGGTATTTTGACTTTCCATACAAAATTCCTTTACTGATTGTTTAAAAGTTACAGAAGCAAAAGATGGTTAAGGCAATTGGCCAATTATTAAATTCTTGGAAACTATATCAGGACTCTATATTTAAACAATATTTTTAGAAACAGAAATAAAAAGCATTTCAGAGGCATTATGGGTGTTGAAATAATTAAGAAGGCATTGGTATAATTATATTATGACCACACATTAAAATGGAAGAGCACTTAAGCAGACAATTAATTCTAAAACATTTAAGTTTTGTATGTTAAGTTTAATTTAACAAACATAAAATTAAAAAGTTTTAAAAGTTTTTTTCCCCTCTTTACATGTTTTTGTTAACACCTCAATGTTGTGGGGTTCGAGTCCCGTCAAATACTTTGCATAAT